ATGCTGCCACCCAATTAACATAAGCGTTCTTCAAGATCTATGTTTCCTTTGGCTGATTCCCTTCTCAGGAAAAAAGAAGAAATTTCTTTTGTGTGTTGGGGGGGAGGGGGTGGTTAGCTTAACATCTCACTCAAATTTCCTGTCTTCAACCATTATCTTCTGTCCCCATGTCTCTAGTTCTGACTTGGATTCCAAAACCTAGACCATGCTCACATGTACATATCAGCCAAAGTAGACACACATTGCCAATAGGTTGGATGCTGCCTCAAGTGACTTCTCGACACTGCTCTGGACAGTCACTATACTACCAGATGAAGCGAGCACTGAAGAAGAAACCTACTCACCATCTCCAATCATTCCCTGTTTTTCTCCACCTGATTGATAGTCCGTATCAACACCTTATGCATACTTTATCACAGAACTCATTATGTTTCTCCAAAACTTTCTACTACTCCACCCTTCATCACCTTCTTTATTTTTTTTTTATTAAACTTTTTTTTAAGGTTTATTCATTTTTGAGGGAGACACAGAATCCAAAGCAGGTTCCAGGCTCTGAGCTGTCAGGACAGAGCCCGACATGCGACTCAAACTCACAAACCGTGAGATCGTGACCTGAGCCAAAGTTGGACGCTCAACCGACTGAGCCACCCAGGTGCCCCCACCTTCATCGCCTTCTAAGGAAATCTTGAGAGTTTGATAATTTTGTTTCGTATCTTCAGATCCATGTTGTTGCTCTATTTTACTGAGTAGCAATGTGGTATCTATCAAATCTGTCTCGTTTTATTCTCCAGTGTCATACTTTAATATAAGCACTTAGTATCTCTTAACAAAGCTGCTAAAGCTGTTAGCTTCCTAACTAGTCTCCCACCTGCAGTCCCTTCCCTTCCTTTTTTCAGACTTACTATGTCCTGCAAAGTAATCTAATCATCTCACCCAATGACTACCCAAATTTCTTATGACTGCAAGTGGTATCCTTCACCTTACTTCTAATCTTACTTTATGTATTCTACCAAATATAACATCTCTATTCTTTACTCATGACGTTTCTTCTGGCTGACAGGGTCTACCTTTCCTTTAGGCTAGAGCAAACTGGAAGGAGTAGAGACATAAATTCAACAAAACCTGACAATACAATGGATAAAGATGAGTGACAAACAAGAATCAGGATGATCCTCAGGTTTCTACTTTATACAGTAAGATACACGGTACTGGTCACTTAAAACTGGGAGCATTTGAGGAGAGGGTTAAAACTTATACTGTGAAGTGACTTTGACATCCCAAAGTGGACACTGATACCAGGTTGGCAGGTGAACATGTAGATCTCCATCTCAGAAGACAGATGTAGAGTAGAAATTTTACTCTCATTGGGTACCTGTGTGTCTCAGGCGGGGAAGTGTCTGACTTCAGCTCAGGTCATGATCTCACAGTTCATGAGTCTAAACCCTATATTGGGCTCCATGCTGATGCCGAGCTTGCTTGGGATTCTCTCTCTCTCTCCCCCTCTCTCTCTGCCCCTCCCCTGCTCGCTCTCGCTCTCTCCCTCCTTCTCAAAATAAATAAACTTTTCTTTTAATCTTTGTTTATGTTGAGAGAGAGACAGAGTGTGAGCAGGGGAGGAGCTGAGGGGAGGGAGACACAGAATCCGAAGCAGGCTCTAGGCCCTGAAATGTCGGCACAGAGCCTGAGGCGGCTCGAACTCACGAACTGTGAGATCATGACCTGAGCCGAAGTGGGACGCTTAACCGACTGAACCACCCAGGTGCCCAATAAATAAATAAACTTAAAACAGAAAAAAGAATGTTACTCTCAGAATAGCTGTAATATAGATGATAACTTAGGCCACAAGTTTGCTTAGAAAACTAACATAGTCCAAAAAAGAAGACAGAATAGAATTTTGAAAGAGGCAGCCCAGGATGTCAGAAAGAAGAGGCAGTCAGAAACCAAGTAGAGAAGAAAGAGCTAGGAGACTGAAAAAGAACAACCAGAAGAATGTGATTTAACAAAAAGTAAGGGGAGAAAATACATTCAGAAGAAGGCAGGGTCTGCAATGTTGAAAGCCACTAAGAGGAAAAACAAGCAAGTAAGATAAAGAGAAAATAAATCCATTAGATTGAGTAACAAAGGGGTCTCAGCAGCGGCCTTGGTTTTAACAATGGAAAAACCAGAATGGAGCTGTTTAAAGGATGAGAATGGAAGGTAAAACAATGAAGGTGAAAGGTAGAGACAACGCCTTCAAAATATTTAGCCATGAAAGGGAAGAGAAATACTATAGAGAACCGTATATGACAATACACGTACTGCCTGTAAAGCATTTCGAACTGTGCATTATTACCTTGCGCAGATCTATCTTTTCTCCCGCTGCTAGCTCTCAGTGTTACTCTGCCCACTAAGGTAAGGCATAAGGCAAGGATACCCACTAGGACCACTACTACTTTTTTTCTGGACATGTTAGTCGATAAAATAAGACTAGAGGAAGCCATTAGAAGTATAAAAAACAAGAATTGGAAAAGAAGAAACAAAACTATTACAGACAAAGATTGTAGGGAGAACAACTGGCAAAGAAGAACTAAAACTATCTGCAGATATCCTGATGAATACCTGGAAAATCCTAGAAAATCAATGACAAAACTCAAGAACAAAAGATTTTACCGAGGGAACAGGATATAAAATAAACATGAAAACATCAGTAACACTGACATACACAAATAAAACCAGATTGAATATATAATGGACAAGAAAACCACACTTAAAACAGTAGTAAAACAGTAAAAAAGATTAAATAAGAATAAATTGAAATGTTCAAAACCCACATAAAGAAAAATAAACACTCTTAAAAGAGACAACAGTAGTCCTGAACAACTGAAAATAAATACTTTGTCACTGATTGGGACATCTCAATATCAATACACCATAAAATTATAAATATAATTTGAGCCCCCCAAAAATATGATTGACTTTTCTGTGGAGCTAGACAACTTGATACTGAAGGTCAAGTAGAAAAGAAACATTCAAGAACGTCTAGGAAATACTGAAAAGAAATATATATGGGAAACCTTGTTAAAACATACTACATACATTGGGCTACCTGGGAGGCTCAGGCAGTTAAGCATGTGACTTCAGCCCAGGTCATGATCTCACCGTTCAGGAGTTCAAGCCCTACAACAGGCTCTGTGCTGACAGCAAGAAGCCCGGAGCCTGCTTCAAATTCTGTGTCTCCTCTTCTTTCTGAACCCCTCTCCCACTCACACTCTGTGTCTCCCTCAAAAATAAATAATAAACACATTAAACATTTTTTAATTAAAAAAAATACCACAGAAATTAAAACACACGACAAAGCCTCTGTAATGAGAACAGTGTGGTATTGCTGCATGAATAGTCAGAGAGACCAATGAAACAGAGTAGGAAAGTGCAGAAATAGATTCGGCTATCATAAAGGTGATATCACAAAACACTGGTACAAGAATGGTCTTTTTAACAAATGGATACACATTTGCGGGGGGAGGGGGGGTGTAAAAAATCCATCTTATTTCTCACACTGAACCCAACTCCAAATAAACCAGAGATTTAAATGTAACAAAGGGAACTATACAAGTAAAAAAGAATCACTAAATTCCTCCTATAACCTGGGAAATCATTTAAAAAAAGCCTTTCTTACTAGAACTAAAATCCAAATATGAAACCTTTATACTACAAGAAAAACACAAGCAAAAGAAAAAGAAAGATGACAAATGAGGAGAAAACATTTTTTTGCAAGACTTATCACTGATAAATATAAATGGCTGATATCACTACAAAGAGCATTCAAAACTGAGGGTAAAAAACCAAATATCCCATAAAGAGCAGCTCTTAAACATATGAAAAGACATTCAACTCCACTCCTAAGATGAACACAACAAATTAAATGGACACTGAGACACCATCTCTCATATTTCAAATCAGGAAAAATTCAAAAGTTTTACAGTTCACTCTGTTGGCAAGGCTGTGGAAAGACAGGCACTCCCATACACTAGTAGTGGAAATGCAAAATGCTACAGAAGAACTGGGCATATATCTAATAAAATTACATAAGCATTTATCCTTTGAAAAGCAAGCAATCCCACTTCAAGGAATTTACCCTGAAGATAAACCTGAAACAATATGAAAATACATAGGCACAAGGTTATTCACTACCGCATTATTTGCAATTTCAAGCTACTGGAGATTATTTAAGCGCCCAAGTATAAGAGATCGGTTGAATAAACTACATTACATACGTACACACAATAAAGTAGTAAGTGTATGCAAAAAATTAAAGAGGAAGACCTCTATAAGGTGATACGGAGTGATTTTTAAAAGATACAGATAGGGGCGCCTGGGTGGCTCAGTCGGTTGAGCGTCCGACTTCGGCTCAGGTCACGATCTCACGGTTCGTGAGTGCGAGCCCCTCATCGGGCTCTGGGCTGACGGCTCAGAGCCTGGAGCCTGCTTCTGACTCTGTGTCTCCCTCTCTCTCTGCCCCTCCCCCATTCATGCTCTGTCTCTCTCTGTCTCAAAAATAAATAAACATTAAAAAAAAATTTTTTTAAAGATATAAATGAAAAAAGTAAATTGCAAAAGGACATATATACTATGCTGTGTTTCATAAGAAAGAGGAAATAAGAAAAAAAATAAGAAAATGTATCTGCTTATCTTTATAAAAGGAATGATGAACTAAAAAACAGTAACGTCGGATACCTAACAAAGGATGCGGTGGAATAAAGTGGAAATAAAGTGACACTTTTCTGAGTATACCTTTTCATAAAACTTTACGTTTTGGAAAAGTAAATCATCACTTTCTACCTATTCAAAATAATTAAATTAGCAATGATATAAAGACGGAAAATATGCAAAAGCTGACAGCAAAGTAAAATGAGTGAATTAAACTGTATTTCAAATTAATACTATATCCATCCTTAAGGGATAAAAAAAGAAAGAAGTAATGCAAGTAATTAGGAGTACAGCATTTGATTAAATATACTCACAGAATTCAGTGGGGTGAGGAGAGAGTACTTCAAACAAATCTTGAATTCTTTTTGGTAGATTTGTTCATTGTAGTGGTATAATGAACCAATTCTGAAACTATTTCAGATGTATTATTGAGCTGCGCAAGTAAGTCAATGTGTTGATGCTGTCGGAAGCCAATGTTCTCACGATGAAAGAAGAGACATACAAATATGGAAAGATGGAAGGCAAGAAAGAACCCTGTGGAGATGGATTAGAATTAGAGACACTGGTGTGACCTAATGATTTCTAAAGTATGTAATATATGTTTATCAGTATGAATGTATGTATACACTTACCCATCAATATACATGTGTACATATATACATAACCCTTATTTCCTAGCTCTGTCCTCTTTCTGTCCTCATGGCCTAAAAGCCAAGATCCTATAGAGATGAGCACCATCCAGTAGCAACCAGCACAATAGTGCCCAGATCTTGATCTCTAATAACATTCCCCCACTAAAACCAGGACTCTTCAGAGAAATGGCTGTCCAGAACTGTTACAGAAAAGATAAAGATTCTGTGACAATCTGTTTTGCCGGAAAGTAAGAAACCACTCAAAAATGTGATAGGGGAGGGGCACCTGGGTGGCTTAGTCTGTTGAGCATCAACTCTTTTTCTTTCTTTTTCTTTCTTCTTTCCTTCTTTTTCTTTCTTTCCCTTTCTTTCTTTTTGTTTCTTTTCTTTCTTTCTTTTTATTTATTTATTTATGGCAGAGGGGGGCAGGGAGGGGCAGAGAGAAAGGGGGAGAGAGACAGACTCACAAGCAGCCTCCACACTGTCAGTGCAGAGCCTGACATAGGGCTCAAACTCATGAACCATGAGATCATGACCTGAGCTTAAACCAAGAGTTGGGAGCTTAACTGAATGAGCCACGCAGGCACCCTGAGCATCAACTCTTGATTTTGGCTCCAGTCGCATGGGGGGACTGAACCTCACATCTGACTCTGCACTGAATATTGAGCCTGCGTAAGATTTTTCTCTCTCTGCCCCTCTCCCCTGCTTGTGTGCTCAGAAATAAAAATATTTTTAAAAATTAAAAAAATAATGTGATGGGTAGGGCGCCTGGATGGCTCCGTCAGTTAAGCGTCCAACTTCAGTTCAGATCATGATCTCACGGTTTGTGAGTTCAAGCCCTGCATCAGGCTCTGTGCTCACGACTCAGAGCCCGGAGCCTGCTTCGGATTCTGTGTCTCCCTCTCTTTCTGCCCTTCCCCCACTCGCACTCTGTCTCTCTCTCAAAAATAAATAAACATTAACCAAAAAAAAATTTTAAGATAATAATGTGACAGGGGAATGCTGTAAAAGGTAAAATATGGGCCTCTGGGTGGCTCAGTCGGTTAAGCATCATCCAACTCTTGATTTCAGCTCAGGTCATGATCTCATGGTTTGTGAGTTCAAGACCCACGTGGAGCTCTATGCTGATCACTCAGAGCCTGCTTGGGATTCTCTCTCTCTCCCCCCCCCCACCTCTGCCCCTTCCCCACATACATTCATTCTCTCTCTCTCTCTCTCTCTCTTAATAAATAAATAAGAAATAAACATTAAAAAAAAAAGAAAGGTAAAATAAAATGGAGTCACTTACATCAGGGGGTTTTTAAACAGAGCCAAGTGCCTAATAAAGACATGGGCCTTATGCATGTCTTCACCAGGTAGAACCATGAACTTTTGAACTGGGCCAAACTGCAAATATTCCAAGGACTCAGCCTGAAATTTGCTAAAGTAAGAAACTTTGCTTGGTGATAGCCTTAACCAATTAAATTAAGCCAAGATTAATTTTCTGCTGCCAACATTAATCAAAATTTTTTGTTAAAAGAAAAAAATACAAGCATTCCATTTTGTCTTTAAAAACCCTTGACTTTTGTTCTGGGGTGGGGGTGGGAGGGTGCAGGGACAGACACTATTTGGGCTGCTGCCCAAATCTGTGTTCCCTGAATTGCAATTCTGAGACCTCATATAAATGCTTTTGTTTTATTTTAGCTCAGCCTCTTTTCTCGGTCAACATTTCTATCTACTTTCACCAACCAAACCTGGACAATTTATGACTCAGTAGTGAATTATAAAGCATTGAAAAGAATAGATATCCATAAGCTCATACCAATGATAAATGATTGAATGAATAAATGATTGAATGAATAAATATAGTTGACCCTTGAACAATGCAAGGGTCAAGGGCACCAACATCCCACAGAGTCAAAAGTCCACATATTAACTTTGACTCCCCAAAAACTTAATTACCAATAGCCTACTGTTGACTAGAGCCTTACTGATAACATAAACAGTCGATTAACACATATTCTGTATATGTATTATACACTATATTCTTAAAATTAAGCTAGAGAAAAGAAAATATTACAAAAATCAGAAGGAAGAGAAAATACACTTACAGCACTGTGCTGTATTTACGGGGAAAAAATCCACATATAAGTGGACCCACACAGTTTAAACCCACAATGTTCAAGGGTCAACTGTAAATCAGTCAGTCCATCAGCATAGATTTTGCGTTCATCAGAATGCTGATGTTGACTGGAAGGAGGGCTGGAACTGGAAAATCAGCAGTTTGTAACCATTATAGAAAGAACTGTACCAGGGAAGAATCATCAATAGATGCTAAATCTAGGCAGAAATTTTGATGAGGAGCAGGATATTTGCATGATCTTAAAGTGTTTCCCCACAGACTGCTTATTAGTTGCAAGAGAAAAAACTAACTCTAGAGTAGAGAAATCTGACAACAGTCTGACCAAACGATAAAAATTACCATCACCAATATGCCTCCAGATGTGATGTCCTGAGAAGGACATAACATCATCTACGTGGTATTCTGGGTGGAATATACAACCTGAATCTAATCATGAGGAAACAGGAGACAATCCAAAATGAAGAGTGATAGACAAATGAAGGACCATATTATTAAAAAACTTCAGTGTCATAAAACTCAAGGACCATGGAACCATTTCAGATTAAAGAAGGCTAAAAAGACATGACAACCAAGTGCAATAACTGATCCTAGACAGGATTCTTATTCAAGAGGGAAAATGCTATAAAAATATTATTGGGTCATCTGACAAATGTGGAATATGGATGGTAGGTTAGATAACAGTATTATACCCATGTTAACTTTACCAAAGCTGTTCATTATACTATAGTTATGGAAGAAAATATCCCTACTCTTAGGAAATACACACTGATACACTTTTAGGATGGTGCATCAATCTCTGCAATCTCTGTTCAAAGGGTTCGGGGGGGGAAAAAACTGTGGGAGGGAGGCATTTGAGGGAGAAGGGAGAGAAAAATATCCGAATGATAAAGCCAATGCAGTAAAATCTTAACAGTAGGTGAATCTGGGGAAAAGAATATATACTCTTCCTACTCCTACAGCTCTTCTCTAAGTCTGAATTTATTCCTAGTTAGAAGTATTTTTTAAGCCAGCCACTTACTTTTTCTTACTGCTTGAACTCAAATGTTTAACTTGTTCAATTGCTCATGGTTTTCCTCATTCTAGCAAACATTAGGAATGCTCTGTTTCCTCCCTTCCATTTACCCACCAAATCTGACTGGGATCTAGTTAACATTCACTTTCTAAAAGATGCTTTCTCAGTTATTCGAGCCCTAAAAATGTCTGCCACGTTCAACCCCTTCAGCACACAAGGGTTGTACCAGTACCTTTAGCACTTAAATAACAATACTGGAAAGTCTGTTTGAAGTGGCAATGCCATGACAATTTCAAAAGTTGTCCTCATCTCTTATTTTCATCAAGGAGAATAAATACTGGAGACAAGCCAGTTTGCATATGCTAAAGGAAAAGATAATAATGGTAGTCTTTCTTTTTTTTAATGGCAGTGTTTTTAAAAGGGGGGACGGGGAAAAATGCTATGGTCAAGTTAATTTGGAAAAATTGAATTAAGCTACACCAGGTTCTCAGATATTTTAATATATATCAATGTATACTGTGATTCTCCTAGATAGGAAGAAAGTATACGATGCTTTCCAAATTTGACCTCTTTTTATTTAGAGAATCTCCTGGGGAAAATACACCATAGAATACACTTTGGAAATGCCAACTACACTGTTAGTGGGAGAAAACATCAGACTACCTGGCCTGTGATAAAGACACTTAGAAAGAAACCACCAGCTTAACATTAGTAGGGTAACGAGAGGCATCCCACATATGATACAAAGTAGCAACTGATTCTAATTGTAATTACTTATAGACTAAATCCCTGTGAGATCTAGATTAAATATTTGCCTTCTTCAGGATCCAACTCCAATTCTGATGTGAGTTTAACACTGCCTCCTCCAACTCTCCCGCTGCACATGACCAACTCCACTATCAGCATCCCACGATTAAAACATACATACACTGAGCAAATGAGAGGCTTTGCCTGAGAAGCATATACTAGTGCTTCTCAAATTTTAATGGGGGTACAAATGAAAATTTGATAAAAATGCAGATGTTGAGGGGTGCCTGGGTGGCTCAGTCAGTTAAGCATCCGACTTTTGATTTCAGCTCAAGTCACGATCTCATGATTTCCGAGACTGAGCCCCACGGTGGGCTCTGTGCTGAGCATGGAGCCTGCTTGAGACTCTCTCTCTGCCCCTCCCCACCTCCAAATAAATAAATAAACTTAAAAACAATGCGGATGTTGACTTAGTAGGCATGGGATTGAGCCCAATATTCGGCATTTTCAGCAAGCTATCAGGTAACACCACTGCCTTTGAACTATGGACCACACTTTGGGTGAGGGTTTCGGGCACCACAGGACAAGAAGTGGAGGCCCCTAAATTACAAGTATACAACAGCTCTGTCTTTCAAACTGCTTTTCAAAGGTCTAATTCTCCCATATGAAAACAAGCTTTCACTCATTTATAAAAAGAGAAATTGTATACAATAAAAAGATACTAAAATCATTATTACCTGCTGACAATTATTTTTCTTAGAAATGGCAGCTTTCTGCCAAAAGTCATAAAAGTGCATGTAAAATAATCACGTTTTGGTCTAAATCCTCATTCTACTTCTATTTCCAAAGGCCCACAGTGATGACACAGAAACATACTGACTCCTATGGTGGACAGATTGCCCCCAACCTCACTGACTCACTGACTTACAAGGCTGCAAAGAGAAACTATTACTGCCCTGCCTCCACCAAAAAAGAGACATGTATAAAGCCAGCATCTTTCTCAATGATTTACTGAAAGCAC